TCTGGGTCTGGTCCTAAAAATTGGCTCAGAATAAAATCTCTTAAAAATTATTTTGCAGACTTGGTTTTTTTCCGTTGGACAATTTTGAGCGTAGTCGCAGGATCTCAGAGAAGATCCAGGGGCCTCTCTAAGGAGCAGCGCGGACTCGGCGCCAGATACGCGGCAGCCTTTTAGGCCTCCGACTCAGAGCTTCTCCTTTGGTGGAACTGGTAAGTCCTCCTGAGACCCGACCTCCCGCTTTTGGTTGATGGTCTGGTTTATTCTGGAGCTGGTTCTTTTCTAGGATTGTTGTTTGGGATCCTAATTTAGGTTTGAAGGTGCAAATTCTAAGGGTTTTCTCCGTTGCCTTTTTCTCTAATAACTAGTTCCAATTGTCTTTGTCCTGCGCATTTGTGCAAAGAACCCAATGTGCATTTAATAGTAGATGAGGACTGAGTTCTCAGCCTCAGAATAAGGGGCCAGTTACCTCCTCCAGACCTAAGCAAGCTCTGGGTGACAGGTGCCTGAATGGGAGTCGCCTGGGCGAGTAGCCCCACAGGACCCCCAACAAATTAATTTAAAAAAGGCTATCGTTCAGGAAACGCATCATAAAGCTGTCACTAGGCGTTTTTGAGCCCATCTTGGAGTACTAGCACCCCTCGAGAGAACATGAGACATCGTAAGACTGTGGGAGCGACTCAGTGGTGAACACCGAGGAGCCCACACCCACAAGCAGCATGCTCTGATCCACTACACCAAACCCTAGACCACAGTTTGATTCCCTTGAAAACAAACAAACAAAAAAATGAAGAGAAACAAATTCTTTAAGAGTGAGGGAAGGGCAGGAAAATGACCTCCTGTTGGGCAAGCCTCAGTTGTTGCAGGCGTCTCTACTCTTGCAAGTCATTATTTGTAAATAAAAGAAGTTAAAAGGCATGCCAGGTTTCTAGGGCTTCCAGCTGGTTAGCTAATTCTTGTGCAAGTTTTTGAAAAGGGCAAAATTACATCAAGAAAAATCAGAGCTACAATGGTCGACCCCCACTAGTTAAAGTCTATTACGTCTCAAGCCAACTCTCTCTTCCTTTTCTGGCTACTCTAAAATCTCTAACTTTTTTCAGTGATGTTTAAATAACTCATTGTTTGTGGTTACAATTGAATAGGCTACTACGAGACCTTGCAGCCAGTTTCTAGCTAAAATGCTAACATAAGAAAACTCATTTTGCACCTAAAGAAAAAAAAAAATCAAACTGCCCATAGAAATGCTTTACCCAAAACTTTAATCCAAGGCCTAATTACGTTACCTATCAGCTCAACTAAAGTTTGCCCAGGGTGTACAAGTTCCAGTTCATCAAAAAATTTAGATCCAGTTCTTTTACAGGCTACGTGAGTTTGTGTTACAACATTTCTGGCTAACGTTCTAAGGTAAAATTTATCAGGAACTTTGTGTTGTATGTATGCGTCCTGAGAGAATGTATATTTTGGGTAGTTTTTTATTTATAGGACGGCTGCAGTTTACACAGGTCATTGATTTATCTATATCATGTTCTTGTGCTTATAGGTTTTCAGAACCTGTTTTAAAATTAAGAAAGCGACTCAATAAGAATTAAACCCAAATGGCTTCATATATAATTTAGTAACCGTTGGTAACATAGCTGTTGTTATGTATTAATAAATAAAAGGTGTTATTAGTAAAGTAATATAAAAATGTTCAAAAACCGTCAGCAATACATTTGTTTTGCCTGGGTTTTACTAGACATTTTTTTTTTTTTTTTTTTTATTTGAAGACAGAGTCCCTTCACTTTGTTGCCCAGGCTAGAGTGGTGCCTGGCGTCAGCCTGGTCACTCAGCAACACCATCAAAACTCCCTGGGCTCAGCAATCCTAGCTGCCTCAGCCCTCCCGAGTAGCTGGGATACCAGGCATGCGCCACCATGCCCGGCTAATTTTTGTATATATAATTTTTAGTTGGTCAATTAATTTTATTCCTATTTTTTGGTAGAGACGGGGTCTCGCTCAGGCTGGTTTCGAACTCCTGACCTTGAAGCAACTCCGCCCG